CAAGAATCCCCACTAGCCCATCCCCAAACAGCTGTCCTGTGAATGATCATTGATGATGGGTATTCGTCGGTCAGAATTATTGCAACGATGCCTGGACCAGTTCGGTGTGGTCAGGGCAGCCCAGCAGCATGCAGATAATCAACATGAGGAGAAACCGGCGTACGGTTGGGCATGCATTGGCTTGCGTTAGCACGTGGAGGGAAGAGGAAGGAGGGAGGAGGGAGGAGGAAGGAGGGAGGAGGAGAGGGAGGAGGGAGATGGAGGAGGAGGAGGAGAGGAGGAGGAGGAGGAGAGAGGGGAGGAGGGAGGAGGAGGAGGAGGAGGAGACGAGAGGAGGGGAATAGGAGGAGGAGAGGAGGAGGAAGAGGAGGAGGGGGAGGGGGAGGGCAGGAGGGAGGAGGAGAGGAGGAGGAGGAAGGAGAGGAGGAGGGTAGGAGGAGGAGGAGGAGGAGGAGGAGGAGGAGGAGGAGAGAGGAAGGAGGAGGAGGAGGAGGAGGAGGAGGAGGACAGGGAGGAGAGGAGGAGGAGGAGGAGGAGGAGGAGGAGGAGGAGGAGGAGGAGGAGGAGGAGGCAGAGGAGGATAAGGAGGAGGAGGAGGAGGAGGGAGGAGGAGGAGGAGGAAGGAGGAGGAGGAGGAGGAGGGGAGGATGGAGGAGGAGGAGAGGAGGAAGGAGGAGGAGAGGAGGAGGAGGAGGAGGAGGAGGAGTAGAGGACGAGGAGGAGGAGGAGGAGGAGGAAGGGGGAGGAGGAGGAGGAGGGAGGAGGACGATGAGGAGGAGGAGAGGAGGAGGAGGAGGAGGAGGGAGAGGAGAGGAGGATAGGAGAAGAATAAGAAGAAGAATACGAAGAAGAAGAAGAAGAATAATAAGAAGAAGAAGAATAAGAAGAAGAAGAATAAGAAGAAGAATAATAAGAAGAATAATACGAAGAAGAATAAGAATAATAATAAGAAGAATACTAAGAAGAAGAAGAATAATAATAATAATAATAAGAAGAAGAATAAGAATAATAAGAAGAAGAAGAAGAATAATAAGAAGAAGAATAATAATAAGAAGAAGAAGAATAAGAAGAGGAATAATAATAAGAAGAATAAGAAGAATAAGAATAAGAAGAAGAAGAAGAATAATAAGAAGAATAAGAATAAGAATAATAATAAGAAGAAGAAGAAGAATAAGAAGAAGAATAATAAGAAGAAGAAGAGGAGGAGGAGGAGGAGGAGGAGGGGGAGGGGGAGGAGGAGAAGGAGGAGGAGGAGGAGGAGGAGGAGAGGAGGAGGAGAGGGAGGAGGAGGAGGAGGTGACGAGGCAGGAGGGGGGGAGGAGGGAGGAGGTTAGGAGGGAGGAGTGAGATGGGGGGGAGGAGGGGGTAGGGGGGAGGCGGGAGGAGTGGGATGGAATGGATGGGGGAGTAGGGAGAAGGAGGATTAATAGGTGAGGAGGAGAGGCGGGGAGGGGGGAGGAGGAGGATTAGAATGGATAGGGATAGGAGGAGTAAGGAGGAGGAAGAGGAGGAGGAGGAGGATGAGGAGGAGGAGAGGAGGAGGAGGAGGAGGAAGGAAGGAGGAAGCAAGCAAAAAGGCCAGAGGTCTCTTTGGATGCTTCTTCTCGGAGCCTCTTTGGTGTATCTCTTGGGCGTCTTGGGACGTTTTTTTTTTTTTCTTGTGTGGGTTTGGGGGGTCTCTTGGCGGTCGTGGGGGGCTCCTCGGCGTCTTGGGTGCCTCGGGGGGGCCTCTTGGGGCCGCTTGGGATCCTTTTGGAGGCCTCCTGGGGGCCTCTTGGGGGCCTCTTGGGGCCATCTTGGGGCCATCTTGGGACCTCTTTGGGCCTCCTGGGCGCTTCTTGGGGCCATCTCGGAGGAGTCCGATCAAACAAGAGGGGATCATTAATTAGCGCCCCCCCCCAAAGAGGCCAACATGGGCCCAAACCTTTGTAAAATCAATGATTGTGGATTCCTCGCGAAGGCTGTTTTGGACACTCCGACGAGTCGCGGAACCCCACTGTCCAGGTCCAGGGGAGGAGGGAGGGGGAGGGGTAAACCCTTCCCCGAAGGGGAAGAAGGAAGGTTGGAAGAGGAAACGCCCTAAACCAGCCCTAAACCACCGACGCCCAGAGGGCTGGTGGGATTGGATTAGATGGATGAGGGAGTGGGGAGAATGATGATGATGATGATGATGATGATGATGATGATGATGATGATGATGTTGACGACGATGATGATGATGATGATGATGATGATGATTATGATGATGATGGTGGTGGTGGTGGTGATGATGATGATGATGAGATGCTGAGATGATGATGATGATGATGATGATGATGATGATGATGGTGGTGGTGGTGGTGATGATGATGATGAGATGCTGAGATGATGATGATGATGATGATGCTGATGATGATGATGATGAATATGATGATGATGATGATGATGATGATGATGATGATGGTGGTGGTGGTGATGATGATGATTATGATGATGATGATGATGATGATGATGATGATGC